ACTCGAATAATGATATTCGATATATTTGTTGTATAAAAACTCGCAGTAGATATATAGCTGATTTATTAAAACTATTTGTTATTTCAAAAATTCTTTTGTTTAAGTCGTAGTCATAACATATAGTATAATCGATTTTGCTGACTTGTTATTATTATTCTGGAACATGTAGTTTATATTATTTTCATTTATCAGTTAATTTCTTATAGTTCTATAAGATTTAAACTAAGACTCATATACTTATTATACTTTTTACTTTTATTAATTGAAAAAAATATAAATGATTATTCTTTTCTGAAAACATAGTCTTGTCAACTTGCTTTAGATACAACACGCACATAAAGTATAATTCTAATTTTGTTGTTTTTTTCTTCATCTTTTTGTCTATTAATAATTATTATTATCTATAGATTTTCCAATATTTAATAAAAAAAATCATCTTATAAATAATGTTTTAACTGTCTAAGCTTTCTTCAAAAGTAAATTTAAATTGTATTTGTATATATATATTTATATTTAAATGTCTGTTATAACAGTGAGTCATTCATGACCAAATAAGAAAACGACTAGTGGTTCATTATTATTGACTGAATATCTATAACTCCCGTATACAATCGAATAATAAAAAAAGAATTTCAAATGTACATTCATTATTTTCTTACAATTGATGGAAACGTTTTTTTAATATGAAATGATGATAAATAGGAAGAATGAATGATTCACTTCAAGCGTCATTCATACATCGAGCAGAAGAAAAAAAGAAACAGAAAAAATTGTCATATAAACAACACTTCATCTTCTAACTGTTTTAACTATTTTTTTATATAAACGGTTGCTTATTGAATAATGCTCTTTACATTAACTCAATGATATTTATAAGATTCCCTTGAACTTAAAAGAAACATACTTCAAAACTTAACTAAATAATAATAATAATAATAATATGAAAATTTATGAAATCAAGCTAAATGAAGTTTCTTATATAAATTATTGTTCGTCAGATACCTAAAACATTTAATGATAAAAACCAGCTCGATATAAAATACGATAAATTATTTTGAAGATTAATTTTGTTTTAAATTAACATATTTATTTATCAAAGAATGGACGTTGTTATAGATTTTAAATATAATTTTTTTTTCTTTTTACATCTTATTGTTCTTTTTTAGTAATTAATATTTCTTTTATCACGGAAAGATTTATTGAAGTAAACAAACAAGCCTTGTACCCTGGTTCTCATTTTGAGGATACCATTATTACACTAATGAAATTAGTTTTCTTTATAAAAAGAAAAAAGATGAGAGAAATATTTTGAGATTCAATACTCATTTGTATTTATGGAAATTTGTATCGATTGGTTTTGACATCGATGAAAATGACAAATAATATTTCAAGTCAACATGTCTCTAAACTTTTCTGATAGTTTTCTGTCGATTTCTTTTTCTTTCTAACAGAAAATAAACGGATATCACTGATGAAATTTCATTTGGAAATATTACTTTCAAGTTTCCTCGATTGTCAGAGTTCAAAAAAATTAAATAAACAAGTATTTCTCGATTTAACTAAATATAATAAAATAGATTCCGATAGTATTGATACTAAAATGATATTGATGTTTATTCTCAAATAAAAGAAAAAAAAACGTTATTCTATATGAATATTTTATCAAGAAAGACGTCAGCAAAATTTTTGTTTCTTCTAAATTGTAAAAACAAATTAGTTTATTAACAGATGTTAAAAAGAAAGCTAAATTTTAATTAAACAAAAGAACTTAATTTTATTCAAAAGAAAGAAAAAACGTGTTATTGTATAAAAAAGGACATTTGTCTAGAAAGTACTTCTTTTTAATTTATATTTTAAACTAGCAGTACTATTTTTAAACTAATACATTTCATCATTTAAGAAAGGTAAGATGATGGAAACAGCTCGTTTCTCATAATTTTAGTATTGAGCATATAAAAGAATTCTATCTGTAAAAAGAAAAAGATTAGAATAAAACTATTTTAGTTATTTCTTCATTTTATCAAACTAAAGATAATTTTTACGTAATTATTTTGGGAGATTAGAAACAGAAAATGTATTATTATTTGTATATAAATTGATATCGAAACTACACAAGAACAATATTTTTCCAGTGAAACCATGAGTGTTGCTATGATAATTCTTCGAAGAAATGAGAACTGAGTTTTACTTTCAACAGTTTTTTCTATTCATAAAAGTCAAAGTAACGTTTTTTTTTAATTTACAATATGTTTTAATGAAAATGAACGTATGAGTAATAAGTATCATGGATACTGTATTTTTTTTATCTTAACGTTCGCGAAAAACTATTTTAGATATTAAATATGATATCAATTAGTAATTTGAAATTGGCTTTGGTTCTATCAATCATTGGTCAAGTAGCAGGTAAATATCTGATTAATCTTCTAATATAATGATTATAACAGCAAAGTATTGAAAATCTTGTATAAATGTTTTTCATAACAGTATATCATGCCATTTCGTTCCAGAATGATAGAAACCTTGATGTGCAATATTTATTGATATTATCGGAGTTATAAGTCCCAAAAAAAGTTTGTAACAACTCTTTTCCCACATAAATAACATAAACCATAGATTACGCCTAAAATCTTAAAAAATAATCGGATTTCAGAAGTGGAACTACGTCTTATTTGAGTTCCGGGAATATCTTTTTCCGTTTTCGACCAGAACTTAGTACAGTTAATCATTCGACAGAAATAGTGTGGTCCTGAGGAATAAAGATCTAAAACTTCAATAATGAAGTTCGTTTCTTTCTTTTTTTATAGTCTTCATGATATTTACGAATAACACTACCTTGTTTGCAGTATTTGCAGTTTAGAAGAAATGTGAACTTCTATGTTTGAGCTCATAAAATGTTTGAAGTAGTGACGCAATACTTTAGCATAAATTTGTCTATATCTATAAACCGAATAGGATGAATATGGATCATCTATTCGTATCTAGTATTTATCAATTTTACACTTGAAATATTTACTTATAAGGCAGTAATAGTATCATTATTGGAATTCTAACGTTAGTCCTGTCTTTTTAGACAATGACTGCCGTAAATGAATCATAAAATAATTTAAAAAAAATGAGTTATAGAATAATTCAAGATCTGTTGATATTTAGATGTGTAGGATCTACATATATATGTGAATTGTCTATCAAGATCTGCTAGAGCCTTATGGGTCTACTTCAGGCTTGAGCATAGTTAAGGACGTAGAGAAAAAAATATATCAACAGACACACACAGAGCGAAGCTCCGACGGTATGAGTGTAGAGTCTTGATAAATCAACCGGGTACTCGTACCCGACCCGGCCCGGAGCATGGATTCGGGTAAAATTTGCTGGGCCGGTTCGGGTGCCATTGTCTATCGAGACTCGGGCCGGCAGATAGTAATATCACAAAATTTCGAACATTTCAATTCTTTATTATTGGTATGAAAAAAAGAAGTCAAAATAAATCTAATAACGACTAAGCGATTTGTATTGTTTTGTTAATTAACATTGTATAATATGAATAATTGTAAAAAAATAAAGAAAATATTAAAGCAGAGTCAGATAAAAGCAAGAGGGCAACGACAGATTGTAACAATCAAGGACCCAAAGGACTTCCTGCGACTCCAAAGAATCCTAGGACCTCACAGGGATTCCTGGGACCCCAAGGACTTCCCGTGACTCCAAGGATTTCACAGGACTCCAAGGATTTTTCAGAGCTCCAAGGACTTCCCGGGACTTTACGGGACTGCAAGGACTTCATAGGACTCCGCGACTCTAATATCCAAGACTCAGAGAGAATTCGTGACTCTGCGGTCCCGGATTCCGAGAGACTCACATCTGCCGTTTCTGCCTTGGATAAAAGTATTTTCGACACATGCCCAAAACCAAACTAAGCCACAGTAATATGGCAGAAACGGGTTGGACGTCGATGTCATAGTAATTTTGAGTTTGGGAATAGATTAAACTCCTCCCCATATTAGAAGCCTTCTTGGGGTTTGAAACTGTTGAGCGCTTAACGTTTTCGAAGATGGTTTTATTAGATTCAAACATTTTGCAAAAATTCCAAGTATGAAAATTTTTTGAAATTATTAAACGGTTATTCAAAATATTTTGAAGAAGATTTCGAAATTTTAGTAATGACTAATGATAATTCGACACATTTTAACCTAAAAATCCTAGAATTAGTAAAATTCGACTATGAAATACCGAGAAACGTTTTTTTGAAGATTCTTAAAAAAAGTTTTAAAACAAGAAAGGCTTCTAATATGTCTTCCAAGTCGACCCCTTCAAAAGGGACTTCTATTATGAGGAGGAGTTTATGGTGTATGTCTTGTTCGTAACCACACTCACATCCTTAAATATAATGTATTTTTGGATGAAATAAAGGTTTAGAAATTTAATCATATTTCGAAAAGTATCTGACTGGGGTCGGTTCGAATTCAGGCGTGAAAAAAGGAATAGATTCGGTTTTGAGCGCAAAAAACTGTACCTGTGCAGGACTCTATATGGGTGAGGCTAGAAAGATGACGATACAGATCAAGACACATAGAGAATCGCACTGAGTGAGGGTAAGGAGGCCCAACAGACACCGCGTCAACACTCTGTTCAGTCTCGATAGATCCTGGTAGAACTTGATGGGTCCTTCTAAAATTTGGTGAACCCTGGTAAAGCTCGATAGACCTGGAGGACCGTATTAAATCCTGGTAAACCTGTATAGACGCTTGTATACTCTAGTTAACTTTGATAGATGCTTGTATACCTTTGTGAACCTTTATTGACCTTGGTTGATCCTAGTAAACCATGGTACACTCTAGGAAATCTATGTGAACACTAAGAAATCTTGATAGACCCTGGCAACTCTGGTAAACCTCAGTAGACCCTGATTGACCGTAAATGGTTTATTGTAATTATATAGATATATCTATATAAATATAAAGAATATATAAAAAATATGGAGTTTTTGAATTATAATTCAACTCATGAACTCTTTTTTAGGTCTTTCTAACAATCGACCAAAACTTTGTCAAAATGCATCGTGGAATGCATCGGCTATAACTATCGCGCCTCAGAGTGTTATTGGCACATATCCTGCTAGTGTTTTTGTCAATATAAATAATCATATCTATGCAGCTAGTATAGCAAATAATATTGGTTTTGAATGGGTATATGGAAGTACAACACCTATAAGAAATGTTTCGGGCGGTTTAAAAACTCCAAGTAGTATCTATGGTTCAGATACTAATGATATTTATGTTGATAATGGAGGTACAAATTATCGAGTTGATAAATGGTCAGTCAATTCAACAACCAGCGTTCCATCAATGTATCAGTACGGAGAATGCTTTTGTCTTTTTATCGATATTAATAATAATCTTTATTGTTCAATGGATACTAGTCATCAAGTTATCTCAAAATCATTGAATACACGTTTAAATATGTGGAATCGCATTGCTGGAACAGGGACTGCTGGATCAACATCAATTACACTCTATGCGCAGCGTGGCATTTTTGTTGACGAAAATCTTACTTTGTACGTGGCTGATTCTTTCAACAACCGAATTCAAATGTTTGCATCGGGATCGATAAACGGTACAACTATAGCAGGTGCGAGTGCACCAGGAACAATTTCGCTTGCTGTTCCTGCCGGAGTTATGCTTGATGCTGATGGTTATCTTTTCATATTGGATGGTTGGAATCATCGTATTGTTGGTTCAGATGCTAATGGTTTTCGATGTATAGCGGCATGTTCTGGAGCAGGCTCAACAGCAACTCAATTATATTTTCCATTAGCTATTAGTTTCGACAGTTATGGAAATATATATGTTGCTGATCAATACAACCATCGGATACAAATGTTTTTAATAGCAACTAATTCATGTGGTAAAGTTTAATTATATGTAATAATAGAATACCATTAAAATCTGACTTTATTAGCGATTCCATTAATTAGATATTAAGAATAAATATGAATATATTCACCAAATAAAATTCTTTTTGTTCTAGCTACTACAAATACAACAACAACTATGAGCAATAGTAAATATTTCGTTGTTTTTCTATACTTTTTTGTTAATAAATCCATTTTGTTTTAGTGACAAGTTCTACGAGCACTATTCAAATGACTACCACATCAACGTTCACATCATACTCAACCGGTAATATAATATCTCAATTTTTTAAATTAGTATTGAAGTAATAATGTCACGATTTAAAAAATAAGGATTCGATTTTATATACTTACGCAGTAGCAGCTTCATTTTTTTTGGCATTCTGTTAAATAGTATTTATTATTAAATTTTATCATCTTTGATTTTCAATACTTTATATTTTTTATCAAGATGAATCTCATACTATCCTCAGAGTCTTCTAGACAAGTTTTAAAGATTACAAAGTGATCTTGGTTAAGATATTTTCAAATCTAAATAAATATTTAATCAGTGTTGCTTGTAATTGCATAAAAAATGTATGTAATTCAAGCTACTCAATAAGTGATAATAACTGTAAGCAACGGACTTTTTAAACAGCTTTCGATTCTAATCATAGTTATTCAAATATTATCATATGATATTTTATCTAATAGAGAATAATTGGACTGCTATTCGGAAAAGATAATCAAATATCTCTTTGTCTAGTTTTTCTTTTGTCTTATTTTCATTTTCATTTTTTTAAATCATATAAAACAAATCAAACTTTCAAGTGTTTTATAAATAATTAGTTAGAATTAATATCAGAAGTAGCAGATGTTTTTTTTCGACATCAATCGAAATCAAAAAAACGTTATGATTTGAACGATTGTTCTAAACTTAAATAGATCGAATTTAGTGTGAGTCTGTCTATATTTACAATAAACTGTGCAAGTTCTTAATTTAATATTCGATTAATACCTATCATTAGTTAACATATCTCTTAGAAATGGTTATTTAAATTATATAAAATAGAATTAAAACAAAACCATTATCATTATTTACATATATTATTCTAGTTGTTTCGTACAATCAACCAAAATTCAATGGATTTGCTTCTTGGGATCCAGTCGGTACAATCTTTGCCACTAGTGGTACAGTTGGTACAGCACCTTATGGTATTTTTGTTAATACGAATAATACCGTTTACGTGGCCAATAAACAAAACAGTAGACTTCAAATATGGTTTCAAGGAAGTGCTATACCTTCAAGTAATATAACTACTGGTTTGTCTTCTCCATATGGTGTTTTCGTTACACCCACTGGTTATATCTATATTGATAATGGTAATACAAACAATCGAGTCGACAGGTGGATATTATATGGAAATAGCAGTGTTTCAGCAATGAATGCTAATGGAGCATGCTTCGATCTCTTTGTCGATATTAGTAATACTCTTTACTGTTCATTGAATACTCAATATCAAGTTATTGCAAAATCATTAAACAGTAATTCAAATGCGGCGACAATTGCTGCCGGTATAGATCATGCTGGATCAGGTTCAAATCAACTGGATGGACCTCGTGGAATCTTTGTTGATCTCAATCTTAATTTATATGTAGCAGATTGTAATAATGATCGTGTACAATTGTTTACATCAGGACAAGTAACTGCAACAACAGTAGCGGGAGGAACTGTAGCAACTACGACTATAGCATTAAACTGTCCTAGTGATATCGCACTTGATGCTGATGGATATCTCTTCATTGTTGACAATGGTAACACTCGTATTATTGGATCAGGACCATATGGATATCGATGCATCTTGTCATGTTCGGGAAGTGGTACAGCAGTTAATCAATTAAAAAATCCATCGCTTTTTAGCTTTGATAGTTATGGAAATATTTTTATTACCGATACTGGTAATAATCGAGTTCTCAAATTTATGTTGATAACAAATAATTCTGGTATGTCTCATCAATAATTGTATTATTGAAGCTTCTCCTTTAAATTTAATTTTTATTTTTTTTAGATGTTTCTTTTAATCAACCAAATTTTTGTCCATCTACAACTTGGTATTTAGATGCTGTTACTTTTTCTAATAGTACAATGGTTGGTGTACAACCTTATGGTATTTTTGTTGATAAAAGTAATACTCTCTATGTAGCTAATAGAGCATCCAGTCTAGTTCGAGTATGGTACGAAGGAAGTATTAGTCCTGACAGAACTATTTCCGGTGGTTTAAATACACCAATGAGTGTCTTTGCTACACTATCTGGTGACATATATGTTGATAATGGTGTTAGTAATCTTCGAGTCGATAAATGGGTATTAACTGCAAATAATAGTACGATCGTTATGACAGTTACTCAAGAATGTTATTCTATGTTCATCGATATTAGCAATACATTTTATTGTGCAATGACTGCTTCTCATGAAATTGCTAAAAAATGGTTGAATGATAATGCAACTACGCCAACTATTGCTGCAGGTACAGGTACTGCTGGATCTGGTGTAAGTCAGCTTTCTTCACCTTCTGGAATATTTGTCGATACTCAATTTAATTTATATGTTGGGGACTGTGGCAACGATAGGGTTCAAATGTTTTCATTCGGACAAACCACCGGAATAACGGTGGCTGGAAGTACTGCCCCGGGTACTATTACACTCAACTGTCCAAATGCAGTTACTTTGGATGCTAATGGATATCTTTTCATTTCCGATTGTTCCGATAATCGAATTATTGGATCAGGACCATATGGATTTCGATGTTTATTTGGATGTACAAGTGTTGCTGGTTCTTCATCGAATCAATTAAATTCTCCTCGAACGTTTAGTTTTGATAGTTATGGTAATCTATATGTTGCTGATCAAAACAATAATCGAATTCAAAAGTTCATTTTAGCATCAAATTCATGTAGTAAGTTTTACCAAAATCTAATTATTATCTATATTAACTTCATAAAATATTTCATCATCCTAATTATTTCATTTTAGGTCTTTCATATAACCAACCACAGCTTTGTTCAAATACATCATGGTATTCCAATGCTACAACTCTTTTGTCTAACAGTTCAATTGGCTTATTACCTTATGGTATTTTTGTTGATGGTATTAATACGCTATACGTAGTTAGCCGATCAAAAAATCGTGTATTTGTATGGCCTCAAGGAAATAGTGCACCGACGAAAAATATTTCTGGTAATTTTAATAATTCATATAGTCTTTTCGTTTCGATGAATGGTGATATTTATATTGATAATGGTTATTTAAATGGGCGAGTTGATAAATTTACATTTAATACAACAAATGTCAATACTGTTATGAATGTTAGTGGAAGTTGTTATGGTTTATTTATTGATATTAATAATAATCTTTATTGTTCCCTTAAAGATTTTCATCAAGTTATTCAATTCTCACTTAATAATGGTACAACTCTTCCAACGATTGCGGCTGGAAATGGTTCTGCTGGATCACTATCAAATATGCTTAATTCTCCTCAAGGAATTTATGTTGATAGTAATTTAAGTCTATATATTGCAGACTCTGCTAACAATCGTATTCAATTCGTACAAACTGGACAATTAAATGGAGCGACAATCGCCGGAAATGGATCATCAACAAGTATTATACTCAACTATCCAACTGGAATTGTTCTTGATACTAATGGATATCTATATATTGTTGACAGTAACAATCATCGTATTGTTGCATCAAATTACTATGGGTTTCGATGTTTAGTTGGATGTTCCGGAGGTGGCTCATCATCCTCTCAACTATCTTATCCACAAAGTATGGCTTTTGATAGTTATGGAAATATATTTGTTACTGATCGAAACAACAGTCGTGTTCAGAAATTCACCTTTCAAACCAATACCTGTAGTAAGTCTGTTTGTACATAAATGGAACATTATGAAATTGTAGTTTATGAATAGCTTTTTGCGACTATTATGTGCAAACTTATCACTCAGTAAAATAGCACATTGATTCATTTCGAAAAAAGAAAACAGTGTGGTCTATCTTGGATTGTGTAGTTTGTCTAGACTATTATTTAACTTGAGTGCAACACCTTTCCACGAGAATTGCAATTTATACATTTAGTAGTATGTCTACCCTTCGAAAATCAATTTTCGCATTCTTAAAATAAAAAATGTTTACTGACTCTACCGATTTTATTTACAAATTAATTAACTATAAAAAGAATTTCTCAAATGAAAGTTACATGAAACTTGAATCTTTTAATCTCATATTAATAGTTTTAGTATAATTTTCCTTTAATTTGATTGAATAAAACACAATTGTCTTTTTATTTCAGCGGTACCAACCACCACTACTACTACTACAACTAGCACTACTACTACTACCACCACAAGAACTACAACAAGTAGCAGCAGTACCACAAGTGGTACTACTACGAGCAGCAGTAGCACAACAAGTAGCACTACTAGCACCACCAGTACTACTACAAGCAGCAGCAGTACCACAAGTAACACTACTACTACTACCACCACTAGTACTACTACGAGCAGCAGTAGCACAACAAGTAGCACTACTACCACGACGACCACTAGCAGTACCACTTCGAGCAGTAGCAGCACCACCAGCAGCACTACCTCAAGCAGCACTACCACCACCAGCAGCACTTCTACGAGCAGTAGTACTACTAC